AGCGGCGGCCGGATAACTCGATTAACATACAGATAACTTCTCGTCCAAGATGTTTAAACGGGAGTTGTTGTTTTAAGTGTGTGTGTGTGTGTGTGTGTGTGTGTGTGTGTGTGTGTGTGTGTGTGTGTGTGTGTGTGTGTGTGTGTGTGTGTGTGTGTGTGTGCGCGTCAGATGTGTGGGTGAGGTTACGACCCGCTTGTCATGCGGGGCTTTGAATCCCGCACTATACACTTTTGACCCGAAACACGACACGCGGCTGAGAGTTTCAAGGCTTACTAAGATGTTTCAAATATTAACATTCTGGCGTTAATTATGAGTAGGAATACTTCTGTTAATTTTGCATGTGACTCTTTCTACTTAAGCGACAGACAGACAGGTAAGCAGACAGAATAATTCCCACTCAACAGTTCACGAAGCCCCCCAAATTAGCCACCTGTCTTAACGTGAAAGTAATCAAGATGGCGCCTAAATCTGCCGGAAACGCTAGAGGCTTAAAGCAGAAAAAACGCGAAAAGCGCTGAAAATTGCAACCTATTTTTTCCGGTACCAACAACCAAGCTGTTCCTCCGGTACCAACAAGTGCCTATTACCAAACTATCAATACCTCACAAATCCGGCCGGTAATTGGCTTCCGGAAATTTCATGGAACTTTTCGCCTTCATAAAAAAAGGATTACAGATCATCCCCGCAGGCACAGCATCGCTGTTAATTAATTTTAATGATGAATAAGCTCGTAATCGCTCGTTCAGGAGGAACACGCGAGGACACGAGCCAGAGGACGAGGAGGAACATACGAGGACACGAGCCAGAGGACGAGGAGGAACATACGAGGACATGAACCGGTGAACGAGACGAAATAACGAGGAAGTTTTTTGTTAATAGTGGCGGAGGATTCAGGAGCGGATGATTTCTCACTCCTGGCTTATCTCGTCTTAAGCCTAAGCTTACTAATTTTCCTATTAAGACGACTCGACAATGAGGGGGTCTTCACGGGACTCAATTCGTGCTGGGTGTATAGGGGCGAAGGGTTGATGATTGGTGCCCCGTCGATCCTACCCTGTCCAGGACTCTAACCCGGAAGAATTGGTGGCGCGCGAGAGCGTGCTCCGGTATACAAGTCCTGTGCTCCATATAAGCTGTGCTGTGCTCCGGTGCTCGATATAAGCTGTGCTGTGCTCTGGTGCTCCATATAAGCCTAACATGTACTGTATGAATAAACTGGCTACCTGTCCCGGACATAGTGAATTAATTAGTTTAGACACAATTGACCGACAGTGTCAGAAAAATTTTCAGTGTAAGGGATGTAAATAAATTGAATCTATTCAATTTATTTTAACCATACGAGTCTATTTTATTATGTTAACTATATAATCTATAGATTATATTATTATTATATCAGTGTTTCTCAAAGGTGTCCCCTTGCACGCCTAAGAGGATAAATCTGAAGGCTAAGGGGGAGGAAATTTGGTCAAGGAAAGAACAAGGGAAGAATTCCAGAATTTGGAAGAATTTTATTAATGTTTATGTTATCCCTATTAAATGTGTTCTCTGCGGGGGTTAAAAACACATAGTATTGCATATCATATTGGAGTAATAGTTATATAGCAAGGTAGGTATAGCAAGGTAGGTATAGCAAGGTAGGTATAGCAAGGTAGGTATAGCAAGGTAGGTATAGCAAGGTAGGTATAGCAAGGTAGGAACAACGTTTCGTTCATTTAATTAATGTTTTAAACTGACCTTTTCACCTCCTTTTTTTTTATCGTACGAGGAAAATGTCAAAAGATTTTCATGGCCAAAGCGACGGGTATCGAGCGAGGGTTCACGACAATGTTGTAGCGGCTTCTTCCTGAACGCCATCATCTATCTTCCTTCCAGTATTTTCACTAACAATGACCCCTTAAATGTCGCTTGCCTCTCCCTCGCCCAAGTTAATCCTAACCCCAAATTAAACCCCACACCCAACAACCTCACCCAATGAACCCCCACCCAGTCAACCCCTCCCTCATCAACCCAACAACAACCCCACCCCCAACCACCCCACCTAACAACCCCACCCCCAACCACCCCACCTAACAACCCCACCCCAACAACCTCACCCCCCATCAACCCCACCCCAACAACCTCACCCCCCAACAACCCCACCCCAACAACCTCACCCCCCATCAACCCCACCCCAACAACCTCACCCCCCATCAACCCCACCCCAACAACCTCACCCCCCAACAACCCCACCCCAACAACCTCACCCCCCATCAACCCCACCCCAACAACCTCACCCCCCATCAACCCCACCCCAACAACCTCACCCCCCAACTAATCGGAAACCAAATCCCTACCTTAGAATTGCGCGGGAAAGTTTTTGTTGTGGAAAATTGGGAAGGAAATTGTTATGCAATTACGATAGAATTGTTTTTATTTTCCAGAGAATGGCTCGGCCTGTAGTTTGCTTCATTTAAATTTTGCATTTGTACCAGGAGGAGCTGAGATATCGAAATGCACGCAAAAATGAACAATTTTCACGGATGAATGAAATGAGTAGAGTGAATCCCCGCAAGAAAACGAAGTATTTCTTGTCCCTTTGGGCGGGACGGTAGAGCGACGGTCTCGCTTCATGCAGGTCGGTGTTCAATCCCCCGACCGTCCAAGTGGTTGGGCACCATTCCTTCTCCTCCGTCCTATCCCAAATCCTTATCCTGACCCCTTCCAAGTGCTAGATAGTCGTAATGTCTTGATGTTCCCTTCCCTTCTACTATACAACCCTTCAGCAGTTGTGATAACTGTAATATTTTTGTAACCTGTCCTCAGGCTAAGCTCGTCCATCCGGCGGCCGACCCCAAAGACGCAGTCATTAACTCTAACATACTGCGTAATCAAAAATATATTTTCTCAAATATAAACTAATGTTGTTATATACTCGAATGCGTATAACAGATAGGCCTTTCTTTGGTTGGATGGTTAAGTCCTGTTGGCAAATATTGGTATTTGCTGTATGTTGGTGAAGCATTTAAAGAGGTGGGATTCGAACAGGGGAAGTCAACAAAGCACTTGGCTGCTGGATTAACGAGCATTTAGCCTTTGTTGATGAGGACGGGCTGTAATTTTTTCCAACCACTGAATGTTTCATAGGCGCTTCCCTCTGTCTGTAATTGCCCGGCTCCTGCCTTACGGTCTTCACTCGCTAACCTATAAACACACACTTACACACACACACACTTACACACACTTACACACACACACTTACACACACACACACACACACACTGGGAGAGGAGATGTCTTACCACACTGGAAGGCACTTGGCAGCTAAACGCCTGATGCCAAACTCATAAACGCCAGGCGTCCGGACGCCTGGCGCCCGGACGCCAGGCGCCCGGACGCCAAGCACCCAGACGCCAGGCGCCCAGACGCCAGGCGCCCGGACGCCAAGCACCCAGACGCCAAGCACCCAGACGCCAGGCGCCCAGACGCCAGGCAGCACATGACCATCCCCATTGCTTGAACCAATTACTTACTAACTAATACAGGGATCGCCTCGACATCTGAACCTAAACACACACATATATGCACATTAAACTATACACAGTTTCTACTTATATAGACTTAACCTAATGTTTTACACTCATACTAGACCCAAAATGACTTCAATTTGAAGCAAATTTATTACATCATGAGTGAAATCATGAGTATTTAAATGCCTAAACAGCCCCATGAATATTGATGGCTCTAATGGAATTATCGTGGCAAGGCTAATTGCATTTGCATGTAACTGCGCTTCTCGTGCGGTAAATATACATCACTTTAACACAATTATCATATTACTTCTGTCCATTAACATTAACATAATGGGGATGATCAGCCCTGATGCCCTGTATCCAGATATTGTGGTGAACTGTATATGTTTGGGAAATATATTCATCTCTCTCTGTCTCTGTCTGTCTGTCTGTCTGTCTGTCTCTCTCTCTCTCTCTCTCTCTCTCTCTCTCTCTCTCTCTCTCTCTCTCTCTCTCTCTCTCTGTCTCTCTCTCTCTCTCTCTCTCTGTCTCTGTCTCTCTCTCTCTCTCTCTGTCTCTCTCTCTCTCTCTCTCTCTCTCTCTCTCTCTCTCTCTCTCTCTCTCTCTCTCTCTCTGAACACACTCCCACCTTTACGACACTGATCTCACCCCCCCCCTCCATAACCTCTTATAACCCCCCATGAGCCACCTATACCCCCCACCCCATCTTCACCTCACTGGGCTCGACTTTCCCCTCACATCTCCCTGAGTGCTCACCTACAAGTAAATAGGTACCCGAGAGGTAAGTAACTAATAATAATAATAATTTATTCTGTAGGGGACAGGCAGCTTGAGTATATACATACATTTAGGGCAATATAACATTGAAATACTGACGCTCCTTAGGATGCAACCCCACAACAAGCTGAGTAAGTCCTGGGTACCTATTTACTGCTAGGTGAACAGTGGCATTAGGTTATAGGAAACATGCCCAACCATTTCTGCCCCGTCTGGGATTCGAACCAGGGTTGTGAGTCGAGAGCAAACCCAACTGCAATACCGAGAAGGGTAGTGCACTACTTGGAAAGGATCAGGATAAGGATTTGGGACAGGACGAGGGGAAAGGAATGGTGACAAACAACTTGGACGGTCGGGGATTGAACGCCGACCTGTATGAAATGAGACCGTCGCTCTACCATCCAGCAACTTGGGGCAACTGGCCTATTGTCCGGTGTTGCACACTAACTCGAAGACAAAATCCAATGCTGCAGACAAATCTCAATAAAGTTTATAGTCTTCTCACATAATATTCCCACGAATCCACAAGGGCCGTGACGAGGGTTCGAACGTACGTCCGAGAGCATCCCAGACGCAGCCTTAATCCCTTGTCGGCTTGTCCATATGATGCATCACGCCATTGTGATTTCTGTGTGTAATATTACCACAGTTTCTATATTAATCAGTTCAAGCTTAGTGTCAAAGGCAGAGAGGAGTAAGGAAAATTGTTGCTAATACAAATCATTTACTAAAGCAGCTATAATAATAAAATACAATAAATGAAATAAAGCCTCACTAAATTAAAATTATAAATACTTTAAGAGCAGGTCTACTGCGCTACTTCTGCACTGAACCTCGTGAAAATTACATTATCGTGTCTTGAACAGTGATAAAGTAATCTATAAATTGCTTAATTAATCACTTTGGCAATATTTCAGAGGCTTGATAATAGCAGTTGCTAAACCTCTCAATCACAGCAATCATAAAGGTATACGTACATTCAGTCACGATAAATCAATAGACTTCATCGTCTCCCTGTTGTCACCTCTCTTCACTTCACATAAATATCATCACTTAATACATGACATATATATGTAATGTGGTACAATATTAATATTGATAATTCACAGCAATAAACTAACTCTTACCTCCGTCAACTAACTCTGGCACCGTCAATATTCTGTGTGACTGACTCTCACTGTATGTGAAATATTAAATGAAACCATTCATGGAGTTACACCTGCAATATGACTGATTTTTCTAACTTCTGCACTCACAAGTTTGTATTTGTCTTTCTCAATAACTAATGAATAAGACAGGAATTATACACAAATGATTTTGAGCATAAGACAAGATCAACATGAACAGTGGTTAGCGAGATGGGTAGTACGCCTCTGGTTTGGGCACGGGAGGAGGTGGGTAGCGAGGGTAGCTGTGAGCATAAGGGGCCCTCTGGATGTGCTGCTGTAGAGGGATTTCCTGATCTGGTGCATACTGTTGAGGACTCTCGTTGATCACTGGGAGCCCGGTCCCAGCCACCTGTTTCTGGTACTGGAGGGAGAGAGGAAGACACGGTAATGACGTTCAACAATGATAATTTCAAGTGTGAGGCGAGGTTGTGTCCCTGCACGCTCACTCTGTCCTCACACATGGGCCACATACCACATAGGCCACATACCCCTAGACACACACACACACACACACACACACACACACACACACCGTCTTCAAGCAAGGGCAATATATGTCTATACAAGGGCAGAACATTATATATTTTTGGTGACTGTGGTAGCAAAACTGACACCCAGTCTCCAAAAAAATATAGAACCTACATCAAGTGCGAAGTGAACGTACAAAACATGCACTGTTGTACCTGAAAATGGTCACGTTTTGTTATAGGTAAAATAAAAGGCTTAACTAGAAAAGCAGCAACCTATTATAGACCTAAAATATGGAACCTCAGGCCCTATTTATAGGCATGTTTGCAGCCTTATTCGTATGTCATCCATAGTTGGAATTGGTATGATTTTTGTTTGTTGTTGACACTTGCAGTCTTTTTATCACTATATAATTCCAGTAGTCGGGGACAGGATGCCTGAATTCTGACTTATCGAGATCTCTCCCCCCACCCCCCTAAAAAAAAAAGTTTAACTACTAACCTTCGCCAGGAGGTAACCCACAACACTTGCCTAACTCTCAGGTACCTAATTACATGCTAGGTGAACAGGGACATCAGGAGAAAAGAAACGTGTACACTCATGTCTCTCCCGCCCGGGGATCGAACCCAGGACCCTCGACTGTGTGTCGGGAACGTCGAACACTGTACTATAAGGATTTTTAAGTTATGTGGTTCACTATCATAATAGCCCTTCTGTTACGGCCAGGATAGATAGCTATTAAGATATCAATATATAACAAAGCTATATGAAGTAAATAGAATAAAATTTAAGACAACCGTAATGGTAAAACATGCGACTGAAAGAAAATAATTTTGAGGCATTGAGCTTTTTGAGGCATTTTGAGTTACCTGGTCGTGAAGGCCCGCGGAGAGGCCCACTACTATGACGGCCAGCAGGAAGCCAAAAGCAGTGATGAAGAAGACTTCGTAGGCGTTATAGTTGGCATACCACGGGGGCTTATCAGCATACCAAACACAGCCGGTGATAAACACGGACACGCCCACGACGATGAAGGTGACCAGGCGAGCGTTGAGTCTCTGGAGGTCCACCAGCACCTCTGGCGTCACCGTCATGCTACCCTGGGGAACAGTGGTGCCTGTGTGTTACTCTGGGGAGCAGTGGTGCCTGTGTGTTACTCTGGGGAGCAGTGGTGCCTGTGTGTTACTCTGGGGAGCAGTGATGCCTGTGTGTTACTCTGGGGAGCAGTGGTGCCTGTTACTCTTGGGAGCAGTGGTGCCTGTGTGTTACTCTGGGGAGCAGTGGTGCCTGTTACTCTTGGGAGCAGTGGTGCCTGTGTGTTACTCTGGGGAGCAGTGGTGCCTGTTACTCTTGGGAGCAGTGGTGCCTGTGTGTTACTCTGGGGAGCAGTGGTGCCTGTCTGTTACTCTGGGGAGCAGTGGTGCCTGTGTGTTACTCTGGGGAGCAGTGGTGCCTGTGTGTTACTCTGGGGAGCAGTGGTGCCTGTCTGTTACTCTGGGGAGCAGTGGTGCCTGTGTGTTACTCTGGGGAGCAGTGGTGCCTGTGTGTTACTCTGGGGAGCAGTGATGCCTGTGTGTTACTCTGGGGAGCAGTGGTGCCTGTGTGTTACTCTGGGGAGCAGTGGTGCCTGTGTGTTACTCTGGGGAGCAGTGGTGCCTGTGTGTTACTCTGGGGAGCAGTGGTGCCTGTGTGTTACTCTGGGGAGCAGTGGTGCCTGTGTGTTACTCTGGGGAGCAGTGGTGCCTGTGTGTTACTCTGGGGAGCAGTGATGCCTGTGTGTTACTCTGGGTAGCAGTGGTGTCTGTGTGTTACTCTGGGGAGCAGTGGTGCCTGTGTGTTACTCTGGGTAGCAGTGGTGTCTGTGTGTTACTCTGGGGAGCAGTGGTGCCTGTGTGTTACTCTGGGGAGCAGTGGTGCCTGTGTGTTACTCTGGGGAGCAGTGGTGCCTGTGTGTTACTCTGGGGAGCAGTGGTGCCTGTGTGTTACTCTGGGGAGCAGTGGTGCCTGTGTGTTACTCTGGGGAGCAGTGGTGCCTGTGTGTTACTCTGGGGAGCAGTGACGCCTGTCTGTTACTCTGGGGAGCAGCGATACCTGTCTGTTACTCTGGGGACCAGTGTTACCACCTCTGTGTTACCTTGAAGAGTAATGTTACCAATGATTTTATTATTTGTACCTGCAGGATATTTAAGCTCCAATCTCATGGAGCCGCTTTTCTAACCCTCGGTGGTGTAGTATACTGACTCCCGACCTACTTTCCTTATCTGATTGTAGAGAGATAACGACCTTAAGGGTCGGTACTAGGAGGCCCATCTTGCTCCTAGAATATGTAAACAATCTAACATAGGAAGTGATCTCATTCTTGTCAATGTTGGCTGGTAATATTAAGCTAATTCGGAAATCAGAACTGAGGAGAACTGCGGTACATTGCAAGGTGACTTAGACAATCTCCAGAGATGATCTGAGAAATTGCTACAAGAATTTAATCCTAACAAATGCAAGGTTATGAGAGAGGAGTTGAAACGAGAAGACCTCAAATACAAGACAGGATAAAGGGAAGGAACGTTCCAACTTCTGAAAAAGAGAAAGACTTAGGCATGGACATAACTGGAGATCTACCACCAGAGGCACACGTCACCAGTATAAGGAAGGCAGCATATGCCAGCCTGGCAAACGTCCCGTTATTCTTCTGGGACTTGGACGAAGCCTAAAGGAAATGAACCTCACTACACAGGAGGAAAGAAGGAGTAGTGGAGACATGATAACGACGCACAAGATACGAAGGGCGGATGGACAAATGAATATACGTGTAATGTTCATATTATAATAATAATAATAATAATAATTTTTATTTAGGTAAAGGTACATACATAAAGAGATTTTACAAAGTTTGTTGGCTTTATAGATAGAGCTAGTACATACAATGCCTAAAGCCACTATTACGCAAAGCGTTTCGGGCAGTTTATTAAGGAACAGTAGAACGAGAACACATAATTGAAAACTAGAAACTCAGATAAGTCACAGGGATGTCAGAACGAACTTTTTCAATGTGAGGGTAGTTAACAAACGGAATGCATTAGGCAGTGATGTGGTAGAGGCAGACTCCATACACAGATTAAAATATAGATATGATAGAGCCCAACAGGCTGAGGAACCTTTACACCAATTGATTAACAGTTGAGACGCGGGACCAAAGAGCTGAAGCTCAACCCCCGCAAGCACAACTAGGTAAGTACTCAACCCGGGTCAGTGAGCTAAAAATACCGAGCGCTGTCTGCTCGGCCGCGAGGACCTGTGTGTGTTAACAATGTGTTACTGTGTTACCCCACAACACCCCCTCTCCTCCCCCCCCCCATTACTCCTCTCACTGTGTCTCATCACCAACTTACCGAGATGAGGAAGATGATGCGACAAGTGACGTAGATGTAACCCACGTCGACCGGAATGGAGATGAAGGATCCATAGAGTGTGTAGCCTGAGGAGGAGAGAGTGAGGGGTTAGTAGACTCCCATCACCTGTGGTGGAGTGACTCCCATCACCTGTGGTGGAGTGACTCCCATCACCTGCGGTGGAGTGACTCCGTCACCTGCGGTGGAGTGACTCCCATCACCTGCGGTGGAGTGACTCCGTCACCTGCGGTGGAGTGACTCCCATCACCTGCGGTGGAGTGACTCCGTCACCTGTGGTGGAGTGACTCCGTCACCTGTGGTGGAGTGACTCCCATCACCTGCGGTGGAGTGACTCCGTCACGTGCGGTGGAGTGACTCCCATCACCTGCGGTGGAGTGACTCCGTCACCTGTGGTGGAGTGACTCCGTCACCTGTGGTGGAGTGACTCCCATCACCTGCGGTGGAGTGACTCCGTCACCTGCGGTGGAGTGACTCCCATCACCTGCGGTGGAGTGACTCCCATCACCTGCGGTGGAGTGACTCCGTCACCTGCGGTGGAGTGACTCCGTCACCTGCGGTGGAGTGACTCCGTCACCTGCGGTGGAGTGACTCCGTCACCTGCGGTGGAGTGACTCCATCACCTGTGGTGGAGTGACTCCGTCACCTGCGGTGGAGTGACTCCATCACCTGATGAGGAGATTTTGAACTGGATTTTGACCTTAAGTATTATCTAGCCATTTACGGCTTCGACAGGTAGGCGGTTCCATGGGTTTATAACCCTATGGGTGAAGGCATGTGTTCCCCGCCCAACACTGTGGCTTAATGTGATGGCTGCTGGTGTCCCGTGTATGTCTTACACTCGACCTTGTTAAGAAGCGGTTTGGATAAATGACTTTCAACTTGTTCAGTATTTTAAATCAGTTTTAATTCAACTTTATTCAACATGAACCACTTTCTTACACAATAACTATAACACAGTACCTCTCTGGCAATCCTCTTTTCTGAACCTATCTTTTAGTACCTTGTACTCGGTATCTATTTTAAGTGCCTAACTTTGAATACCTATCTCTCAGTGCATCTCTCTCAATACATATTTCTCAATGGTATGTGCCTCACTGATTCCAAATTCATTTACACCGCACTACAGTGCCACTGTGAAAGCCTCCCACTTGACCTTCCCCCTTCGTTCTCGCTTCATGCAGGTCGGTGTTCAATCCCCGACCGTCCAAAGTGATTGGACACCATTCCTTCCCTTCCCCGTCCCATCCCAAATCCTAATCCTGATCCCTTCCCAGTGCGATATAGTTGTTATGGCTTGGCGCTTTCCCAACAATTCCCTTCCCTTCCGTCACTACAATGACGCTTGAGGTCGTGGCACTTACTTGCTACTCCACAATTTGCCATGGTAGCGGCGATGCAGCAGGCCCAGCAAACCTGTGGAAAAGGTAGGCCTGGAATTTAGATTTTGTTTTGGGGGGAAAAAAATGCGTTTTAGACTCCTCTTGACCATCAAGTTGATGACGTTAGCGTCTGGCTCTTGACTCCTCCTTTTCTCCTCTTCACCTTCGAGCCATCGATGTTAAAGTGTGGTGGAAAATAATAATTACTAATAATAATTATTAAATATATATATATTTCGTAAGTCTTTTATAAGCACATAATTTCCGTTCTCACCAACAGCGACACTAAGAGCGTCTGTCTCAACAACGATTCATCGTAAATAAACCCTTAGGTGCTAATTATCTACACCCTACTTGAATGAATGGTTTACAAAAACATGCAACAGTACTTGTATGGTCATTACCACTTGTTCAAGAAAGATAGTCTTTTCATAAATGACATTGGTGCAGGACACTATTTATGGGTCATAAAGAAGTTAACAAAAGGACACAGCGCCTAGGATTGCTTACAAAAACACAACACAGCTCCCAGGATTATTTACAAAAACACATCACAGCGCCCAGGATTGTTTACAAAAACACAACACAGCGCCCAGGATTATTTACAAAAACACAACACAGCTCCCAGGATTGTTTACAAAAACACAACACAGCGACCAGGAGAGTTTACAGAAACACAACACAGCTCCCAGGATTATTTACAAAAACACAAGACAGCTCCCAGGAGAGTTTACAAAAACACAAGACTTACCAGACAAAGAGCTCCCAGGACGTAGATGGTGATTCTGAGAGCCCTGTCTGAGCAACAAGGCCTGGCGACCCCCTGGATCCTCCCCGTCTGTTGTAGAATCTGCAACACGTCAACCACCCTCATAGTGTTTATTGTTGTCGGTTTTAGTGCTAGTAGTGGTGGTAGCAATGGAGGGGCAAGTGTTGACACTTGAACAAGCAGTGGTAAAAGTTGCCATGGGTATAATACCGTCATCAGGACAAAATGGGGGACCTTTGACAAGCCGCCGGTTTTCTGTCCTCATCGTGGCCATTACAGAGATAATGACCCTTAGGTAAATTTAACTGTATGTGTGAAAGGAAGAGAAAAATAGACTTGGGTTAGATAAATGGAAAAAAAAGAGAAATTAGCTGTGATTGTTTTTTTGAGATATATACAAGAGTTGTTACATTCTTGTACAGCCACTAGTACGCGTAGCGTTTCGGGCAAGTCCTTAATCCTATGGTCCCTGGAATACGATCCCCTGCCGCGAAGAATCGTTTTTTCATCCAAGTACACATTTTACTGTTGCGTTAAACAGGGGCTACAGTTAAGGAATTGTGCCCAGTAAATCCTCCCCGGCCAGGATACGAACCCATGACAGCGCTCGCGGAACGCCAGGCGAGTGTCTTACCACTGCACCACGGAGACAGTTCTGACATTTGAGGTGATCGTCAGGGTGCTGAAGGCGTCACATACAGTGCCTGAAAAGCCTTAAAAAGCGTTACCTTGATGCTAAGAGCTGCTCACAGTTGCTCGCAAATTAAGGTAAACAGAATGCAAAGATACATATCTAGAAGCTTTTATGTTATCTGATGTTATTCTTCTGCTCTATCTTGCCCGGGTTAGGTCCCATTTAGATAATGCAATTCACTGATAGTCACTATTTTAGAGTCTTCCCGGCTTGCTGCCTTCATATGATAATTTCTTACTATAGAATTAACCAAAATTAACGTGAAGGACATACAGTTCAGTAGAAGGAAGCTCCTCTGTCAGAGGTTCTTCAGCGTAGGTTTTGTATCAACTTAGTATCGTATTTCATAAAAACGTATTCCATAAGTACATATAGAACAAATTCAAGGAAACTGAATAAGGCTTATTGGCGCAAGCTTAGCAGCTCCAATTTGTACCTAAACTTGCTCATTTATGTATACTAAACCTCTCTTTGAAAGAATCCCACATCTATTATATTGCCCTCGATTGTGTCCTATAAATTAACAACATGATTTGCTGACTTGTATTTATCCAGGTCATTCCCAAACCTAAACTTGTCCAATTTGTTTGTATTCATCTAAAACAGGGACGGGGCAATATTTTTTAGGTTGTGAACCAAAATCACCAAATCTTTTGATGTAAAATTTTCTCACGTGCCAGCAGAAATTCTGGTAATCATATTATTATAATTTTGTGTCTTTTAAGTATTGGGAGAACTTTTCAAATAATCACTTTGATCCCCAATTTTTAAGTGAAAATTTCTCACTTAAAAACGAGGTTAAACAAGGTGCTGTTTTTAGTCCCGTATTATTTGCTGTCTTAATCTATTAGAGCCAGTCGAGCTCGCTACCACATAGGCCAATGTGTCCTGTTATGTTGATGATCTATTTCCTCTCGCACCGACTAAGATTTAAATTTTTTAAAATTTGAGTGGACACACCGCCATAGCAGCATGTACAACACTCCCCAATAGGAAGAAAACCCGCTGGGTTGTTCATCCTGTCACTTGTACCCAGACACAGCTGGGACTTGCTTAACTGTCTCAAGTGAACAGCTCCTCAAACAAGAAGATTAACATCTATCAACCCTTGAAAGCTTACGTTATCTTGCGGGTGCAAAAGGCCGACTAAGATGTTATGGAAAAACCTTGTAGAAGTATGAGAAAGATATAGTACAGAATACAACCAAATGTCCAAGCCTGCCAAATGTACCGTAGTTCCATATAACTCTGCCCAACCACTTGGACTGGACGGTAGAGCGACAGTCTTTTTTTCATGCAGGTCGGCGTTTAATCCCCAACTATCCAAGTGGTTGGGCACCATTCCTTCCCCCCTCCGTCCCATCCCCGAATCCTTATCCTGACCCCTTCCCAGTCCTATATAGTCGTAATGGTTTGGCGCTTTCCCCGGATAATTCCCTTCCTCCAAGTAACTCATAGGATTCGGTTTATATTGATCCAAAACTAAAGTTACTAGGCAAAGGTATTCCAATAGAGTATTTTGAAAAGCATCTGGAACATATTATATCCTCAAACGGCCCACTTGACAATTACCTCCCACGGAGGAGATTCCGTGGAGGTAATGACTTCAAAACCACTACATAACAAGTGTTATTATCTACTACCTATGCAAGGTTAGATTAGATTAGCGTTGCGTTAGATTTAGATTATGTTAGGTTACGTTTCATTACATTTGGTTAAGTAAATACAGAGTATTCTCAAAAATGTGAAATATGGTATTCGAAAACTGGGTATCCCCTAGAATTTCGTTTACAGAAAATTCTTCACACCTTTTCAAAGAAAACGAGTTGAGCATATACTTTTAATAGTTTAAACCAACGATTTATAATACAATAACGGACAAAGGTTCACTTGCTAGTTAACAAGTAGATTTTTATTGGTAACGTAATATGCTTTCAGACAATAACAAATATCTAGGCTACTATTCAGGTGGTATGCGGAAGGGAGGAGGAGGGGGGGCTAAGTGTCTCGATCTAATGGCTTTACTCTGAGAACTGAATGAATTGTAAATGAAGGAAATGTTCAAGACGAATCTTAGGAGTTCATCCTCGCACTTATTGTAATCTTATATCAGGCCTGATAATGGTCCAGGAAAGATAAAAACGTTGTCGTTTCTTCATTTTCTGATGTGTGATTTAGACTTCCTTTCTTCAGCTACGTTACTGCGACTCATCTTCTGCAAATGGCTACTATTTCTCTCGTGAGCAGGCGCTGGGTGATGTCGTTGGCGCATCACTGACTGAAACCAGATGACATCTGACTCAAGTCATCACTGACTGACTTGATTTGGTGGGGGGGGAGGAACCTTCGACAAGCCGCAGACTTCCTGTCCTCGTCGAGGCCACTAGAGTTAGTGGTTCTCAGGTAAATCAGGTAAAACATTCACCTGTATGCATCCTGCTGAAGCAACCGTCAATACAGTGATGACGGTAACAAGTCTAGGTAAGCGGGAGACACAAATGATCGAGAGGAAAAGCAGAGGTCTGCAAAATAATAAATACTCACACTAGTGGACGAATGGGAATACATGTCGACCTTCAGCTAGGCGTGGTCTTCCTGGGAGAGGCGAGTGCTGGGAGGAGGTGAGGCGTGCTGGGAGGAGGTGAGGCGTGCTGGGAGGAGGTGGGAGTGCTGGGAGAAGGTGGGAGTGCTGGGAGAAGGTGGGAGTGCTGGGAGAAGGTGGGAGTGCTGGGAGAAGGTGGGCGTGTGGTAGTGACGCTAGCAAGGACCAATAACTCAGTTGTATGAGATGGGAAGGGGAAGGGAAGGCTGGGATAATGTTGGGGGCCTGTGTGTGTGTGTGTGTGCTCTTAACGACTGCCACTTCCTCGCCCTCGACTATCTGATAAAACCTCAGGAGAGATAAGCAGCTGATAAAGTGTTGCAAGAACCATTTGTTCTGTGATTCAAATTCTATATAAAATGTTGCCCAACTCGGCAGTTATGTTCAAATGTTAAAGGATAATCTGCCTCTTCCTTAGAATTATAACAATATTTGGTTAAAGATCTATAGAACATTTCTGAAATAATTACATGAGTGATAAATATAGGAGTGATCATATAGTGTATGCCACTTCCTGGGCTACAGAGAAAGTTATCAAAAATTTATTGAATTCCGTTCAGCACAACCTATCAAAATCCATAACGGACAAATTACGTTGTACTGTTAATCTATAGCGGTTCTCCAACATTCACATTTTCTATGCATGGGCAGCCCGTCCTCCAAAAATGGGGTGGTAAATGTAAGGAGACAAATAAGTGCAATTATGTACTATTCATAGCAGTTAGGAATTGTACTTATTAAAACGAGAATTAAATGGGGGGAGGGAGTTGGGTGAATGTAACAGCCCCATAAGTGCAATTGTGCACTGTTTATAACAGTAAGAAATATCGTATTTAGCTGGTGTGGATACATTAGACTGCTCTCTCTAACCTTTTGAGGTGGCATATGGCCAAAGAGTGCCCTCATTACGTTGTACAGGTAATTGTATCACTCGCTAAATTGGTTGACCTGACCGGGAGCCGGTCGGCCGAGCGGACAGCACGCTGGACTGTGATCCTGTGGTCCCGGGTTCGATCCCGGGCGCCGGAGAGAAACAATGTGCAGAGTTTCTTTCACCCTATACCTTGCAGTAAATAGGTTCCTGGGTGTTAGTCAGCTGTCACGGGCTGCTTCCTGGGGGTGGAGGCCTGGTCGAGGACCGGGCCGCGGGGACACAAAAGCCCCGAAATCATCTCAAGATAACCTTGAGGGGGGAGGAGGGTGTCCTACGTGTATGGATTTGGTTGCCCATTCTGAGGCACAAGGAAGGTGGTGGTGTAGAACCATCAGGGAAGAATGTTTGATGCAGCAAGACACTCCTGTTGAAAACGGGGAGAGCACTGCATGGAACACTGCACACTTTCCTGTATCAGATCGTAGTTTCTCCTACACTGCCCTGGTAGGTAGCATCCCATTTCTCCAAGGTAAATTCTTTTTCATGACCACATTTTCTTGTGGAACTTACCAGTCTACTCTCCATTGTCCTGTCCCCTGCTCTTCTACTTGGCACTTCCAATAATCAAATGGGCTTCTAGTTTTCACTCTCCACTTTCATACTTCCCTCTGCCCCTAGCATCTCCCTTTCTAGACATGATGTATTAATGGGGAATCCAAATTTTCATCCACACTTCCATTGAAATAGGAAATAATCCTTATTAAGATTACTCAGATGGCGTCTGCCTCACACCCGTGGGGTCCGTGCTTTGAGTCAACTAAGAGCCCAGATGAATGAAATGGGGGAATCTGTTAAAGCCATGAGGATGATGTGAACATGCACATTGGGTACTCTAAAGTATATGCCCTAACCAATTCAGCCATGACATGCTCAAAAAGCAATGTAACCTGGGATTTAACTAAATCCTCTAGGGGGTCCTCAGGCTTCCATTGAAGCCCAATCGTGGTTTCATTCATTGCCCCCAAGCACTTTGGCTGTTGTATAGGAGTTCTACCTGCAACACTTCTCTTAAAATGCAAAGAAATCGCATTAATGCAAAAAACATTACAGGTAAAACTTCTGTTCAACAGCGAAAGAACTTGGGGCCAATGCATGAAACCTTGGTTGGGCTTTATTGGAAGCCTCAAGTACCATAGAGGATTCAGTTGAATACCAGGTTGCAATGCTTTAGTGCATGTAGTGCCAGAGTTGGTTAGGGCATATACAGTACTTGGGAGTACCAAATGTGCAGGTTCAAATCATCCTCCATGGCTTCAACAGATTCCCCAATTGATACATCATGTTAATGATTTCTTTATGCATCTTGAGCCATTTGCTTACCACTGGCATTTTGTTGTAACATGCCACTGGCTATAGATACTATCCGTTTTGGATGATGGGTTGCATTCCAGAGGAAAATACATGCATTGTATCTGGAAAAACAACTGCCAGTTCAACACCAGCTGTGTTATGGGCTATTCATGCCTGTGCCACCTCTTGGGTGGCTTAATCTTTATCACCAGCTGTGGATTTAGAACCATCAAATCTGTAATATTCCACTATAGAGGTGATGAGTGATTTTAGAAGACTGGTGCCTTCTTTTGATAATTACTCGGAACAAATAGAAGAAATGGCAAAGAAAAAGTGAATGCCTACAGAAATGTTTCTGAAAGTTGATTACAAGAAGAGGAGGGGTAAAGAATTTGACTATAAATGACAGGGCTGTGTAAATGTATGCAATTGTGGCCAAGCTGTAATTTACGCGTTTAACCATTGCACTATTAGAGACACGAGTGAATTTACTTGCTAAGGCACAACTTATCAAAATTATATATACTTGTAAGGAGTCTTGCCATTTGGATTCTTATTACACAATCACAAGCAATGTGTTTTTCTAACATTTCTATTTAAGTAACAAGAACAATATAGGGAAAAGTGAGCAGCACTGAATACAAGTTAATCAGGATCATTGATCAGAATCAATCTTATATAATTATTCAGGTTAGACTCTGGTGAAGATTTTCACTGCCAAGATAATCGGTAACAACTATATAAATACACAGATTTAATACGCTCACTATTCATGTTATAAGACTGCTACACTACCATGTTGGCTCACACCCCCACAGTTACATAAACATGTAAGTAAAACTTGGGCATCAGTTATAACCTTCCATATTTTTACTTCTGTAATATTTATCTACAAAATCTCATCCATGTAAATATAAATTTAGCCATACAGTATGCCATGCGGATAATTTGCTAGCATAATAATTACCTAGACCGAGGATTTTTTGTACATAATGTGGTAATTAAAGTCAAAATGATTTTATAAGTTTGCAATGACATTACAGTATATCTCATTTAACTTGTGTAATATAAGCCAAAATACTTTCCTAAACAAGATATCTTGAGCAAATTGTTAAGTATATTAAATAAAATTAAGAGCTTAAAATGGATTCATTAGGACAAACACTCAAATCAGCCTGATCAATCGCTGACAATGGACTGGGCAGTACCTTCTTTCAAACAAGGCTAAGAAAGGTTAGAGGCAGCAAACACAAGTGTCACAATGCACTAAAAAATCACATTAACACTTTTGCACTTTAGGCGCATGAGCATCAGACCACTTCAAGGTGGACTGGGCATTTCACGTGAGCACGCGTTAATACTGAAAAGTGTATACTCTTTCAATTTTGTCACCTCAATTCTCGTCCAAGTTTTTAGTTTTGGTATCAATGTGTTCGCAATAGAATTCCCAACAGGACTATATGTGTCCAAAAATATCTTAAAGCCCAGCGTATCACCTGCACCAAACCGAGAAATTGGCCGTGCTTTACCTGTGAGCGCACAAGAGCAATAAAATGTGTGTACTCTTTTTCACTTTGGTCACCTCAATTCTCATCCTAGGTCTTTCATTTTCTTATCAATGTGTTTGTAATAGAATTATCTACAGGGAAATATGCATATAATCTCCAAAACTGAGGCACACCCCACCCACAGCCAAGCCAAAAACAGGCCATGTGTTACCCATGAGTGAACACCCATTGGCCCACCCTCTACACCCCCATATCCCACTCACAAATGTTTAGCATTTTTTCGGTTGATAACATCCATTTTCGTGTTACAGCGCTCATTTTAGTATCATTCTTCCCAATAGAATGCTTTAAAGGGATATATGCACATAAGGGCAAATGGAAGAACAACATTACCAATACAATAAGATAAAGTAGTTTTAAATTTTTGACGCACTGATGCGTCATTCCTGCACATTCTTCTAATAATTTTTTGACACCATACTGCATTTTTCCCGCGCAAAAGTGTTAAAGGAAAGAAAAGAATGCATTTAGAACGGGTAACATTTTACCAATATGTAACGGCTGCCTACATAAAACACCAAATTTCAGAAGGGTACTATCCGGACATTGCCGAGTGTTATCCACAAATAAATGAGGAAAAAAAATTAGATTGTGATAATTACTTATCTATTACTAATTGAGAGTATTTTTTAAAGAGTTCAAAATTTCTACACATGTCAAAAGATTTTTATTTTAGTTCAAAAGACTACCCAAAATATTATATAATATGCATTTTATACTGACAACTATTAATCATTGCTTGTAAACCAACTCTCACATCCAACAGAATGCACTCCCTACAAGCCTACACACTAATCTCGATAAAGAAGGCTTATATTCACCAACTGAAAGAATCTACAGCCTTAGTACGGCCTTTGCTATTTTGTCACTCTTATTTGGCACATCTGACATGTGTGCTTATTAAAACCAAAGAAATTATATAAATCTTGTGAATCCTTTGGCACATGTTTAGGAAATTGATTACATGAATCTCTATAATGGACCCATCTGTGTTCAGAAATTCAAATACCATAAAATATAAAAGTGAACATTAGTTCTTTTTTTTTCCTTTTTTTTTTTTTTAAACTATGGTGCACTCTAATATCACATTATAAAATCATTTTTTGTCTGAAAAGTACAACTAAGGTGAACATAAAGGCACCCTCCTGGGTGGTAGCCCAGTTGTGTCTCGCTCTTGGTGTTAAACACCTCGACTCTTGACTGCAACTTATTACACCCTTGTTTTGCTAATACCATGGAAACAAAACTGTATTTTTAAACTGTACCAAACTACAGCACAAACCAGAACACATCACAAACTTATATCTTATTCTCTTGTAACCAATGATAACTCTAAATAGTTGTTATATACTTAATTATATATTTGACATTTTAAGGAAGACACAGGTGGACTTAACAGTAAACTACCAGGCCTGATATCATCGTAGCAGATCGTACGCACATAGGTGCAATATAGTCGCATCTTTAAGATGATGGAAGAATATGGCTCAAGCTTTCATATGCATTTCATGACTTGCAAGGAAAGAGTTGATGAAATATGGAGGAAAACTCTAGAGCCATATTCCTCTATCCAAGTGACAATCAATTTTTTCCTGAAACTGATGTCAAAATATTACAAGTCAAATGTGCACATTTACAGTAATAAGAATTGAGACAGCTATTTTAATAAATTTTTTCACTGGAAAATAACAATATGATTAAGATTGATGAAGCAATACAAACAACATATTGCAATTAACTTCCACAGTACAGAAATATTCTACTTAAAAACATATATATATATTAATCACAATTCGACCATATAAATAATGCAAGGCTACAGTACATATATATACATAGTTATCACAGTTAATTTTTAGTTAGTTTTGTATTACCTGCGTAACACGCAGAACAGTATACTGAAAATAAGGTCCAAATCTCGGCTCTTGAAATCTATTTTGTATAATGTTCTCTTCCCCCCCCCCTCCTGCATATTTAAGCTAATCTGTGAGATTAATCAGGCCAAGTAGCTAATTCATAACTTCTGAAACTAGGAGAACATTTACAGATTAAACAAGAACAAATATATTCTTAATCTCATTTGACAGCTTATATATGTACAATAAAGTATATCTGGATATATATTACAGGCTTATACCAAGTATATTCAAACAATTTATAAAATAACACGTCAGCTAGTGTATAAACAGTATTGCTCTTTAATAATGCATGTAGTGCATACACAAGCCAGAATTATTGCATATGCAAATTAAATTTCCATTCAAGTTAGAAGGAAATCAGAGAAGACTAGTGCAAAGTGATTCATGTGTGTTTATATAAACATTGTAAACATAAATTATTGCTATCTTTAGTCTATTGGCTCTGCAGTCAAGAAGTCAATAAAAGAAATTTAAGAATACTACAAAATAAATCTGTAGTGTACAGTACCACAAGAAACTGGCACTAGACAGAAAACTTGAGTAATTAATCACAGTGCTTATAACAAACTCCTCCATTAATGCTTCAACAGAGGGCTAAAGAGCTGACACAATGCCAAGCTTAATGCTTAAAGTATGCCAACAAATCAAGGAAAGCTAAACAACAATAGGAAAGTTCAGTATCTACAATACTAACAACTCTGACTGCAAGTGTTTCTTATGCACCTTAAGTAACTGTATTTACAAAGCATTATGAAAAAATGTACAAAAACATATATCAACTTCAACCACTAAATTGCATAAGATGCATTGCAGTACTTTGCATACTAGTTAGTCACTTTCTTGATTCATTATAGACACTTGAGGTCTACTTTATGTGCACCTGGTACTCTTCTGGACCACAAGCTGTGACATTTAATAGAACCTGCATCTCTCTGCAGACATCCACAGGCATCTGAAGTCATTTTCATAAAATATTCAATATTTTCCTAATGCGAATTTGGAAGTTGATGCCTATGAGCACTACGACCTTGAGCTCCACTAAACTTTTTAACTTTCAACACTTTGTTATTGTTATTGATGATTGTATTATTATTGTGGGGTAGCACTGCCTTGTTTTTACTACCCTTAGATGGTGTCAATTTGGCAGATGATTGTTTTAAAATGTGCACTTTACCAAGACGAGAGGGGGTACAATTGTCTGGGCGGTGAGAGCGATAACTGGGTGTTATGGAACCTCCTTCACGACTGCGTTGTGATGCAAGGGAAGTCGCTACAGCTGCTAGATTGAGTAGTGCGTCTGCACCCTCTACCAGCTGACGCATATCAGCTTGCGATGCTTCACTGAGGGATAAAGTGAGTGGAATGTCATTACCGAGTACAGTACATCCAAAATTCCAAAGCACTCACTCTTGATATGAATTATTATGTATAGTATAAAAAATGAGAGGTAGACTTTTTAAATTCGCACACACACACACAGTGCAAACATTATTTAATAATTCAAAGTAAGAATGTCATTACCGAGTACAGTACATCCAAAATTCCAAAGCACTCGCTCTTGATATGAATTATTATGTATAGTATAAAAAATGAGAGGTAGACTTTTTTTTTTAAATACGCACACACACACAGTGCAATCATTATTCAATAATTCAAAGTAGCACAAGCAAAATATTTCAAAATTACATCTAGCTTTTGGTCACCACTCATAGGCTTAGCTTATACACAGAGCTTACATAATTTATATATGGTTTGATCATGAGATGATGATCACAAACTATAGCTTTGTCACCATGTTGGCATATCAATACAAATATGAAATATTCGTACAAATATTTGTTCCCTATCTTCCTTTTGCTGTATTCTTTCTCCCTGAATATACACTTGATACAAGCTTTGATTTTATCTGGAGACATTGGAACAGAGATCCTGCTAGATGCATCAAATTCTTAAAAGTGTAATTACAGTACTACTGTATTCACCTAGTTGTACTTGCGAGGAAAGGGCTCTGGTTCTTTCGGCCCGCCTCAACTGTCAATCCATCCACTTTTCCTTTTTTTTTTTTTTTTTTTTTTTTAACACACTCATCATCACCACATCATTTGTGATCATTTCTCAGAGAGACAGACACACTTAGGGGTTGATATCACGCCAGACCTGTCCCCCGAAGCCCATATCAAAAGAATAACATCAGTGTCATATGCCAGGTTGGCCAACATAAGAACAGCCTTTAAAAACTTGTGTAAGGAATCGTTCAGAACTTTGTATACCACATATGTCAGACCAATCCTGGAGTATGCAGTTTCAGCATGGAGTCCTAATTTAGTCAAGCATAAGATTAAACTGGAAAAGGTTCAAAGGCCTGCCACCAGACTAGTACCTAAACTGAGGAGTATGAGCTACGATTAAAGACTATGGGAATTAAACCTCACGTCGCTGGACGACAGAAGAGTTAGGGGGGACATGATCACCACATACAAGATTCTAAAGGGAATTGATAGGGTAGATAAAGTCAGGCTATTTAACATAAGGGACACACGCACTAGGGGACACAGGTGGAAATTGAGTGCCCAAAAGAGCCACAGATATTAGAAACTTTTTCAGTGTCAGAGTAGTTGACAAATGGAATGCATTAGGCAGTGATGTGGTGGAGGCTGACTCCATACAGTTTCAAGTGTAGATATGAGAGCCCAATAGGCTCAGGAACCTGTACATCAGTTGATTGACAGTTGAGAGGTGGGACCAAAGAGCCAGCCAGAGCTCAGTTCCCCCGCAAGCATAACTAGGCGAGTACAACTAGGTGTACACACATACACGAACTAGCCTGTAGCAGCTGTCTAACTTCCAGGTACTTATTTACTGGTAAATAGGTACCTGGGAGTACCTGTTACCCTTGTTACCTACTTATACATATACTGGTAAATAGGTAACGGGCATCAGGGTGAAAGAAACTCTGCCCATTTGTTTTTGCCGGTACCGGGGTTCGAACCCGGACCCTTGGGACTATGAACCCAGAGTGTTGCCCACTCAGCCACCAGCCCCTGTGATAAAAACTGTATGTAAAGATGCTTGTCCACATAACCATGTTGAGTACAACATTGACAAAGTACAGTTTACTCATGTCTTCCATTAACATGCTAATTAATTTTTTGCCCAACTGTAATAATCCAGAAGTTAGAAACATGAATCAGCACCCGAGGTGAACCAAAGAGCTGGACAAAAAGAGGCCAATGAACACAGGAGGCAAGTTAAACATGATTCTTATTTTGTAAGAACGGCAACCAAAGGCCCTTCAACCTGTGAAGCCTCACAAGCAAGCCAAGAGCCTTCAGCCAGTGAGACTTCAGCAGCTGGCTTTCAAAACTGATCTTGCCAAGCTCATGTACTTGTACAGTAATTTTAGTGTTAGATTATGTTGCATAAATTTTTAAGAACTACACAGTATAGTACCTTACTTAAAGATATACCGTACATTACTGAACAATATTGCATGCAGCACGAATCAAGACTAACTACAACAAGGTAAGCTGAAGTTTCTGTTCAAATTAATTACAGTACTGTACTTGAATATTTTTAAATTATTGTGTGTGGGGCAATTCAAATTACTGTATGTTGGTTGTGGTACAAAAAATGTTGCATATTTTTACTTTTTGAACTTCCCCGGTAAAAATTCTGATCATCCGCATGTTGGGCTTATCTGGTAAGGGGGGAGGGTCCTTCCCATATAATTTAAATAAGCGAGCTTATACAGTACTCTCTTAGCTGACTACAGGAAAAACCTCTTAAGAATTTTTCAATCAGAGCAAGATGATGATAAATGCCAGTGAATCCATCACTATTTCTTCTATATCGTAAATTCAGATTTGACCTTCACATGATCATAATTGAGGGCCTATAGTGTTAGCTAACATGAAAGATCATTGCACATTTTGCTAATTCACAGATATGAAATCATGTACACAATTCAAAGAGCCATACTAACCTGGCAACATCACTATCATATGAATCGTCTGAAAATGCTTCATCTACACTTGAAGTTGGAGAATGGTTGGCTTTCTTGGGTGGTGAGAGATGAACATGAGGGTCTGAGGAATTATGCATAGTTTGTAGAGGAGCAGGATCAGCAGTGTAGTCGTCATCTCCGTCCACTGATGTGTATGAATGGTCTTCACTAGGGGAGGAGCTAATCACCATCATGCGTGCATCCCCAACCTTGAAAATAAACTTTGTTAAACTTATAATCATAGATATGAACAAAGTTTTTTTTTTAGCCTTACTGCATTTCATATAATATCACTATGCTTTACTACAACACAAAACAAAAAACACTATTCAATATTATTATAACAAACATTAAACACAAGAACATAACATACCAGGTAACAACTAAGAAAACTGCACAAGGCCTATTGACCCAAACAAGGCAGCTCCTACTTACATTCACCCAAACTCATTTATGTACATTCCTAACCTATGCTTCAAATAATAAAGTGATCCTGCATCTACTATGTTACACTGTAATCCGTTCCACAAACCAGCAACCCTGTTTCTGCATTTTACTTTTCTTCTAAGGCTTCCCTGATTTTGTTACAGCAATTTAGTAATTGCAAAAGGCCTGCTCTAAATTTATGTTGACTTTGGTTGTGATGTTCATTGTTTTACATATAACTGGGGATTTGATTCATACTTAAATCTCTAGTGGAAATAAATCTGATCATGTAAGTGATTCTGGCATCTGCTTTACATCCAAGCTTTTTCTTCCTATTAAACCGAGTACTCTTGCTACTTGTACTTCACAGTTCTTTATAAATATGGAATTCCAGGAATTGAGACCCAGGGCTAAGCACATGGGCACGTTATCAATTCTTTCGCAAAGTTTGCTGTGCTCATGTTTATGTAAGTTATGCTGTCAGGGTTTTGGATATCATTTATAAAGATGATTTCCGAATCTTCAATTTTCATGTTGTCTAATGGGGGAGTTGCTAAACACAGCCTCGTACTGTTTTAGGATTTAGCCGATTTCTTTGTCATTCTCTGTGTATGAACCTTCACTTTATGTATAGGTTCAATACTGGAGGGTTTTTTTATTTTGATTTTACTTATCTGGAGATTTATTTTGGATTTTTTTTGGTTATCTCTTGTATAGCTTTCTGTTCCAAATCAACTACTATACTGTAGTACGAAAATACAACAAACACGCCTACAACACACAATACTTCTAGCAATGCAACTTCTACTAAATTACAACAAACACTCCTACAACACAAATATTACAATACATTTATTACTTCTAGCAATGCAACTACCACACTACTAATATAAACCAAACGCAAACTTAATCAGAGACAAACCACAAGTTACACACCTCCGTATGTTTTCTTTTCCTCTTTCTTTTTCTACTTTCTTCATATAAAACAGAGGTGTCTTTCCCATCCCTCAGCTGGGAGTAAGATTCTGTAAGGAAGAAGGTCAATTAATATACTCCAAATAACATCAGACTTGAAGGGCATAACAAGGCAAAACATGCTAAGGATTTAAATCTTAACTTGATAAAGAATTCTTAAAACTGACATTATCAGCATTAAGGAGATCTAGGTAGGTATCCTCACTTTCTATGTACTTAGTACTTGTCTTGGCAATAGTATCTCTGTTGTTCCAGCCAACAGCAAGGCAATACTCATAGTATAATACTGGTAAAATCTATTAAAATACTGGTTTTTATTTAAGCATATGACAAAAGGCAGAGGAGAAAAAAAAAGAAATAAGAGGAGAGTATTGGTTGTAGGTTCATCTCATCCCAATGATCCCCTTCACTTCTGAGGAAGACAGATTCTAGTCCTGTGTTCAAGGTAGGTCATTAGTCATCAGAAGCCCAATTATTATGGGAAGATGACCTGTTATCTGTGCAGTTAACCAAGGGAAGTAACTGAATGCTCCACATACATACACACAATGCTGTTTTATTTCACAATTTTTGTAGAATTTTAGAACCAATGAGAGTGAATTTGGTCCATGCAACATCCTCTCTCTTGCTTATGCTGTGCTTTGACTGTTACCCCTCACATGGGACCTCTTCCCTTTCATCACCTTCCTTTTTCCATACGGATGTCTCGCTTGCAAGATTCCCTCTCAATTCATATTAGCAATCTCTCCTCGTTCCATCTTTGCCCCCATGGAGAATCCCACTTACAAAGTTTTGCAAGACCTTGACTCACATGGTAAAGATTTCTACCCCTCCTATGGTTATGAAACACCTTTTCCTTGAAAACTTTTCTTTGCACTTATGCTCCATTGCCCTCTTCGCAGACAGGTCTAAGTCTTCCGTCAGTGTAGGCTACTCCATTGTCTTTCCTGACCAAACTTATATGTGCCACCTGTCTCTTTAGACTAGTATTTTCATGGCAGAACTTTATGTAACATTGTATACACTTCGTCAACTGCTTTTCCGACGCCACCATTCCTTTGTCACTGTGGTTGACTCCCACAGTGCCCTCATGGCCCTGGAGTCATTTAACCCAATGCATCCTGTGGTGGTTGAAATTCAACATTGGCTGTTTCTCATCTCTAGCAGATTTAAGTCGGCCGAGTTTTGCTGGGTTCCCGGCCATATTGGTATTACCTTAAATGAACAAGAGAACACTGCTGCTAGGGAGGCTGTCTGCACTTGCCCCATTTCCAAGAGGCATTTCTTATTCAGATTTCTATCAAGTCATTCATTCCTCACTCCGAGACCGCTAGCAGAATCATTGGTCTGTGGTTACAGGTAATGAACTATGCACTCTTTAAAGTAATTTATCCCATTAACCTACCTTCCGCTTCCGCTTATCCCATTAACGCTTCCTCTACACATAAGGGGCATAACTGCCAAACCCCTCACAGTGTTCAAGAGAGAACTGGATAAGCACCTCCAAAGGATACCTGATCAACCAGGCTGTGACTCATACATCAGGCTGCGAGCAATCATGTCCAACAGCCTAGTTGATCAGTCCAGCAACCAGGAGGCCTGGTCGACGACAGGGCCGCGGGGACGCTAAGCCCCGGAAGCACCTCAAGGTAACCTCAAGGTAAGGTACCTCCGACCATTTTAATAGATGGTGGGAAATGATTTTGGCTAGGTTACATATTGGCCATACACACTTAACTTGTGGGCATTTAATAGAATGCCACCCTGCTCCCTATTGTCCAACCTACATTGTCCCACTTAGTCATGCACCTTGAGAAATGCCATGATTTTTCAGGACAATCTTTCATCTTCCTTTCCTAATATCCATCAAGGTCATTTGTCCCCCCCCCCCCCCCAAGAAAATCCTTGGCAAATCTGATACCTTCGATACTGCTTGCCTTATGTGCTTTTGTTCTCATATTGGCATCCTCGATGATAGTAGTTTTTGAATAACCTTTAGCAACACTGATGGTGCAACATAGTCTACCCATCTTGGTGCTTTCTTTTGATAATTATTTACTTGTCCTTATCTCCAAACACCTATTTTATGGCAACTAGATTGCTTAATTAAAACTTTCCAAAATTACTATACAGTATATTTTCTATAACTTAAAATATTTCTTTTTAATTTCCAATACCTGCTTGACGGGGTTCTGGGAGTTCTTCTACTCCCTAAGCCCGGCCCGAGGCCAGGCTTGACTTGAGAGAGTTTGGTCCACCAGGCTGTTGCTTGGAGTGGCCCGCATTCCCACGTACCCACCACAGCCCGGTTGGTCCGGCACTCCTTGAAGAAAACTATCCAGTTTTCTCTTGAAGACGTCCACGGATGTCCCGGCAATATTTCTTATGCTCACTGGGAGGGTATTGAACAACCGTGGACCTCTGATGTTTATACAGTGTTCTATGATTATGCCTATGGCACCCCTGCTCTTCACTGGTTCTATTCTGCATTTTCTTCCATATTGTTCACTCCAGTAATAATTTTATATATATTTTTTTCCCCTGGGGGAAATTTGACTGTCTTCTTGCCATACCGAAGTATGGTACCTGCAATTTTGAATATTATTTTTGATAAATATTATATTTGTTCTAACGTTACAATAAAATATTTTTTGGTATGCAATACTCTAACCCTGGAGTCTTAAATTTTTGGCTTTCTATATCCAGTTTCACATAGGGAAAGCCAGCTTAAATAATTGAGATGACCGAGGGAGCCTGAAAAACAAATAGAATAAGGAAAAACAAAGGTGCTTACCACTAGCCGGTGTAACAATCCGTGAGCCATGTTTGAGGGCCAACATGGCTGCTGCTGCATCAACATCCTCACTTTGCACACCTGGTGCTGCTGCTCCTGTGCCTGTGCTCCCAAAACTGCCAAATCCTCCTACTGCTGATGACCCCAAACGACGTGCAAGGTACGGGAACAGTTCAGGATCGGGAATATTTGCTCCCGCAGGTTTAGAGGGGCTAACAACAGGACTCTCGACACTCACTGCAGTTCTTGCAACACTTCCTTGACCACCTATTGTCTCGCCAAGCTGCCTGTAACATCAGTCAACAAAACAGTTACACAGGAACTATTGAGACTTCAAGAACATACCAAGTTAAGGAATAGTTTAAATATTAATACAAACAGCATTTTGGTAAAAACCAACAATTCTTGATAGCCAGCCCAACAGAAAGACCCTAACTTCACAGTTTACATAAAATGGGGCTAATTATACATGTACACAAAATAATTCATAGACAAAGTCAGATAGGAGGGATGAGAGAGAGATTGTCCACCACTATTCAATTAGTCCTGGTTGGTATTTTACGAGGGCATGAGAGAGTTAGGATGAAAGAAGAAGTACCAGCAATGTTTTCATCCTCATCTTCTTTTCAATACCCCAAATCCTCCTCATCATCTTTATCCCCCCCGACCATGCTCTACCATCATTAGGAGTGTAAGCTCGGCTTGCAAATGACATTTAATTCTTTCAGCGACTTTTCATGTTTCTTGTCTCAAGCCTGGCCTCGGGCCGGGCTTGAGGAGTAGAAGAACTCCTAGAACCCCGTCAAGCAGGTATCAAGCTATACATTACTCTACTATACATCTAAATATAAAACTTTTAACTCCATTTACTGGATAGCTTTATTTAATGGAACAAGTCCAGTCCTAATTAATTTACTGATCAGAGATTTCACTGTACACACTGAACCTGTCCATTATTTCACAGGATGGTAAATACAAACTTCCATTAGTGATTAAGCCAAGGTTCTTTTTTTCTTTTATAAAAAAATTTGAAATTTTAAACACTGCCAAGTGGAAACGGCTGGCAGTGCCAAGTGGAAACGGCTGGCAGTGCCAAGTGGAAACGGCTGGCAGTGCCAAGTGGAAACGGCTGGCAGTGCCAAGTGGAAACGGCTGGCAGTGCCAAGTGGAAACGGCTGGCAGTGCCAAGTGGAAACGGCTGGCAGTGCCAAGTGGAAACGGCTGGCAGTGCCAAGTGGAAACGGCTGGCAGTGCCAAGAAGAAACGGCTGGCAGTGCCAAGAAGAAACGGCTGGCAGTGTCAAGAAGAAACAGTTGGCACTGCTAAGCAGAAATAGTGATCTATTAATTTACAACTTCAAAAGAAAATGGTAGGATCATTGCGTGACCCACCTATACAGCACTGGCCTGTTATAAGCAGCCTTGGTAGAAACCATGTAGATACGATCCAGATTGGAATACGGATGAAAGGGCGTCTTGCTCAATGCCTGCAGGAGGTTAGGACGATAAGCTGGATCAACCATCCATAATGAGCCCTTGCCCAAATTCTGAAAGTAAACAAATGAACAATAGAGATAAAGAGTGTGAGTGGGTTGTATTTTTATAAAGAGCTACAGCTTTGTATGGCAAAGAGGCCTTCTGATGGTTCTTTTATTACTATGCTCTCTCATGGCAAAGACAAAATGTAATTACAACTATATAGTTTACAAAAACAAAAATAAACTACAGCATTTAAAAAAAGAGAGAAATACAAGTCTGGAGACACCCAGGACGGAATGTCTGCACATTAGTAAAACATGAAACTGAAGAGACATTTTTGAAAGTACTGTGCACAGTAAGTAGCCAAAGTACTTAAGTACATTTTTAAGAGGGTAGAAAAGTCCAGGGGCCAGATTCACGAAGCAGTTACACAAGCACTTTCAAACCTGTACATCTTTTCTCAACCTTAGTCGGCCTTGTTTACAATTATTTTACAGTTAATGAGCTCTGAAACACCAGGATGCTCTTTATAACAATAACAACAGTTGATTGGGAAGTTTTCATGTTTGTAAACTGTTTAATAAATGTAACCAAAGCTGTCGAAGATTGAAGAAAGATGTACACGTTCGCAAGTACTTGCGTAACTGCTTCGTGAATCTGGTCCCTGGTCTTTGAGAAGAATAAGAAATCAAATAAGTTTGATAGAGAAATGGGAAAGAAATGGTAGATAAGAACTACTGCCATGGTGGTAGCACGAACATGGGTTAATAATACACAACACAATGCTCAAGTTTAGCTGCGCGAGACAGAAGAGCAGATCGAGATTATGAAAGTAACAGGCAAGTGCAAATTAATCTTATAAATTATAAATATAGAAGTAATTATTAGGTACTTGAATGGTTTATATTGAATGACAAATATAAGTAGGAATTATATGAGAAAATCATAAAAATTAGCTATTCAAACTTACTGGTGCCTTCTCCACCTTGCGAAAACATTTATTGAGAGAGAGATTGTGTCTAACTGAATTTTTCCATCCAGTGGGGGCATTCCTGAAGTAGGGAAAGTGGTCCAAAATCCAGGCATAGATATCCTTAACTGGCAGGGCTTTATTGGTGGAGTCCTCAATGGCCATGAAGATGAGACACGAAAATGAATATGGTGGTTTTGCATTTACATGTACCTGGAAAAGAAAATATTGATAAAAAATCTGCAGTGTAATAATGTAGGTACCATTATCATCCTCTAGCAACTATTACCAGTACCAAAATCCTCTGTCAATTGTTTGTGATGTGTGTAAATATGTGAAGACATTTTGAACAAGGGTGAGAATGGCTAGAGCTAACTTATTGCTATGTGCATTTATATCTAAATACATTTATTTCAATTTCAATAGTCCTATCAAAGTGAAACTACCCAAAAGAAAACAAACTGTGCCAGATACCACACATAAGAAGGCCTACAACTCCACACACAAGACAACACTCCCTATATGTAGCCACGTGCAACCCCCCCGCTGGCCATAAATAAACATTATCATTGGAATCTCTCAAATAGTTAATTTAAAATAATCAAGCAATTATACCAAGAAAGAAACAGTGCACAAAATGCAAGAGTGGTGTACTCAGATGTATAAACTGCCAACTATGTACAATTGTTATGTACATCAAGTGTCTTAAAAGAAAAAAGAAAGTTAAGCAGAGAGAAAGAGAGAGAGGTGTGGAGGATGAAGGGAGAGGGATGAAGGGAGAGGGAAGAAGGGAGAGGGAAGAAGGGATGGCAGTGTGTTAATGAGCCATGGACAGAAATTAGATTATTAGCCTCTTGGGGGTTTGCCAAAGATCCTAATGTATTGTTGACTAAACCACACTAGAAAGTGAAGGGACAACAACGTTTTGATCCGTCCTGGACCATTCTCAAGTCGATTGTGCCCTAATGTATTACATAACAAATACTGTAAATAACAGAAAGGAGAAAAACAAGGATGGGGGGATAGAGAAAGACAAGGAGAAAGAATAGTAGTAGTAGGAAGGATGATGAGATGGGAAAGGGAATATGGAAATGAAGAAAAGAAGAAACCTTGGAGGTCAAGCTGCCACACCTGAGGGTTGTATGGTATGGGCTGAGAGCGCGAGGGCTGGGTGTGGGGCTGGTCGTTGAGGGTCAGCTCTCCAGGCTCCAGGGCATCAGAAGACTCATCACCATAGTCACTCGTGGGCGATTCCGCCTTTACTACCTCCGCGCCTTCAGCTGCACCTCCTGCCATCCCCTGGCTCATCTTGACGGGAGACAGTGCTGTGCCTACACCAACACAAATATTACCTTTAGAATTATTATATAATTTAATTCAGTACAATATATGGAAACAAAAGTTAGATTAAACAGTACTGGATACAAAATATACAATGAGAGACTGCTTCATGACTGTGGCTTCATGACCCCACTCAACTACACAACCTTCACCACATCAATACCCTCTCTACACCCACATCATGCTCACCATACCACCACATTATGGACCCATGCCATTCCTGTGCCTCAGGTCATACCTGTCCCAAGGACCCCCCCCCACCCATTTCTAATTGCACCTGAGGGACGTGGTCATAAATCCTCAACACCTACCCTCTCCCCTTCCTTTAGGAGCAGCACACTCTACTATATATATATATTTATTACTACCTCTCCACACCACAATACATAACCCCACAATACAACCCCCCCTCCTCTCCCACTTGTGCAAATTATTGTATTATTGTAGTAGATAACTTTCATTAATATCCATCTTTGTGGGCATCCAAACATAATTATAAAAATACTTGCTCTATAATACAATCTGCAATTCAAAATGGGACAAAGTAAATACTGTAGTTGGTGTATGCCTGGCTGACAGTGTAAACAAGAAAACAAGTGGAAGACCCCATGAAAGAGGCCTCACCCCACCACACCACTGTGGCAGCAACAGACTATCACATACAGCCACCGTCACCAAGTTACGATCAATGAATTGATGGTGAAATGACAAGTCTGCCCACTCTATCAATATATAATCTGATCTTTACACTGCACAGAGGTAGGAGAGGGAGGCTACTGAAGGGTAAAATGACAGTTACAGATGTAAATGCTCCAACTGTCTACTACCATTACAATTTCCCCAAATACTCGCACTCACAAAATAACAATGCCACTAATCACGCACTTGTGTGGGTTATTCCTCTCACCTCACCCATGAGGCAGTCACCTGGGAGCACGGGCACAGGTGCTCTTACTATTATTATTATTATTAAAAATAATAATAGTTCATTTTGCAAGGGAACAGGCAACCAGTGCATACATACATATTAGGCTTTTATTGAGCTGTGTAAGGTTGAACTACTAACCTTCCCCAGGAGGCCAAAGGAGGAGGGGTGAAGTCAGTGGTAAGGAGGGGTGAGGCTAGTGAGAAGGAGAGGCTAAAGTCAGGGGGGAAGGAGGGGTGAGATAAGGGGAGAGGAAGGGTGAGGCCAGGGAAAAGGAGGAACAAGGCCAGGGGTAAGGAGGGGGGGTGGAGCAAGGGAGGAGAAATTGGGGAAGAGGCGGCCACACCCCTCCTCTCATCACTGGAGAAGGACCATCATTAGGGCATCAAGCATACCAAACTTCAAGAGACAAGCAGAACACCAGGAGAGCCAACACTGCACTAACTAGCACAAGTCTATCACCGAGGCATATCGGCACCACCTCAATAGCTCACGTCACGCTCCCTTCCCCCCCATCCCACCTCAATATTATTACCAGAAAGGGAGATGAAATTTGGCAACAATTATGAGGAAAGCTAGAGATGCTGCACTGCTTACGTCACACTGAAAAGGGATGGAGGGCTGGCCCACAGTGTGTGGGGAGTGAGGGCTGACCCACAGTGTGTGGGGAGTGAGGGCTGACCCACAGTGTGTGAAGGTGCTTGAGAGCACAACAAAAAATATTTACAAACTTTAAGAATGGCCTATATATGGGTAGCATAAACAGTCCAGCAGACAGCTCAACATAGCAATTGCCAGGATCATGTTGGGTTACCGTCACCTGCGGCAGGTGACTAATCTCCCAATCCTGAGTACTTCATGTATAATAATGTGTGTATGCCCTGAAACAGTACATTTTAGAATGTCTGGTCATTTGACCTTTCAAACCTGCCAGTATGAGGCAACTGGAGCTTTGCAATTACTGTATCCACTCTCGTGACCTTCATGATATCCTGGTAACCCATTCCTCCAGTTTTCTTAGTGATATCTTCATAACCTTATGAAAGTACTGCATGCATGGTCATGGTCCTCACGTAGTTCAGTGTAGCTGCATGAATGGTCATGGTCCTCACGTAGTTCAGTGTAGCTGCATGAATGGTCATGGACCCCACGTAGTTCAGTGTAGCTGCATGAATGGTCATGGTCCTCACGTAGTTCAGTGTAGCTGCATGAATGGTCATGGACCCCACGTAGTTCAGTGTAGCTGCATGAATGGTCATGGACCCCACGTAGTTCAGGGTAGCTGCATGAATGGTCATGGTCCCGAGTAATAACAAGGCAGAAATACTAACCACGAAGGAGGTTGGAGTCCTGCAGCCAGGAGAGAGACGTGAGCTCGTCATCGGTGCGGGGCCCTGACGACGATGACGACGACTGTGGAGACAAGGATGGTGGAGGCGACGACGAGGGCGAGGAGGACTGGGAGGTAGTGGAGGGCTGGTGGTGGTGGAGGTCAGCCAGCATGCAGGTGGAGGTGGTGGTGCTGGTGGTAGTGGTTGTGGTTGTAGTAGTGGTAGTAGTGATGGTGGTGCTCACCCCGGCCACAGCTTCCACAAGTCTGTTGCTTTCCTGTCGAAACACAATACAAATAATGATCTTACTTCGTACAAAAAATATGAATATTACTTAGCCTATATTTACATTTGCATTGTTGAAAATCAAGGACAAAATATTTATTACTGAAACATTACCAGAATCCACACACCTCTTGTGGATGAGACACGGACCTAAAACACGTTTACCTCTACTCCTATACGCTTCACATGTAATTTGCCTGCATGAAATATTGAACAAAAGATGTTAGGGTCTACCAATTGCAGTTTGGAAAAGAATTAGGTACCGAGACAAGCGTGAAGCTAATCAATGATGTCCACCCACAGCCTGGGAAGATTCGGCCTATTAATGAAGACGTGATTAATCCTGTGGTTTCCTCTTAGGCCAAAGAGTCATCAGCAGTCAATCTAGTTGTCACTAGGCGAAGAAACCGAGAACTAGCATACTGCAGCGAGCAACTTTGGGGCGGACTGCAGCGAGCAACTTTGGGGCGGACTAGATGACCAATGCCTGTAAGTAGTGGGAAAACAGTGACTTCTAAAGTCAGTGGAATGAAACAAATGGTACTACTGTTGCAGTAGTCATAAGCTAAGCCTGCCAAGTCCACGAATGAGTAGTGAAGGAAGGGGAGGCCAGGGTCGAGAGGGAGGGGGGGAGGCCAGGGTCGAGAGGGAGGAGGGAGGCCAGGGTCGAGAGGGGGGGGGGGGTAGAGGCCAGGGTCGAGAGGGAGGGGGTAGAGGCCAGGGTCGAGAGGGAGGGGGTAGAGGCCAGGGACGAGAGGGAGGGGGTAGAGGCCAGGGACGAGAGGGAGGGGGTAGAGGCCAGGGTCGAGAGGGAGGGGGTAGAGGCCAGGGTCGAGAGGGAGGGGGTAGAGGCCAGGGTCGAGAGGGAGGGGGTAGAGGCCAGGGTCGAGAGGGAGAGGGAACCAGGGTCAAGAGAATGGGGAGAGAGAGGACACAAAGACCAGGAGTAAAGCAGACTGGAGAAGAGGGGATGGAGGAGGAGGAGCAAAGTGCGAGAACAAATAACAGGTGTGAGGGGGAAGGGAATGATGGGGGGGTGGAGTAACACTTGAGATAGTGAAGTAGGGGAGCGCATTGGGGAGGGCGGGGGGAGGCAGAAGGACAGGTTCACTATGGCAACAATGTGGGTGGCGTGGTGTAACACATTGTTCACCATGGCAACCTGCATATGTGATGTGATCCCCCCCTCCCCCCCCCTTCACCAACACTTAAGTGCCCCCTCTCCCCCCCACACTCAATGTTCTCGCCTGCAATTACTAAACTTATTTGGATTTTTTTTCTTTTGTCGCGGAACCAATATTCACAAGAGCTCCAATATGTTTGCTCACAGAATCGGGCTTACCAGCTCTGCTGTTACCAGCGACACCCTATCGAGCATGCCCCCCCCACCCCCCACCCCACTCCCAGGCCGGGCTCGGGGAGTAGAACAACTCTTGAAACCCTCTTCAGGTATGCTCCAGGTATCGCCTGGTCTGGGTGTCTTTACCAGCCAGCATCTGACAAACGGGGAAAAAAAAAAGAAATATGAATATCCGTCCAATATTGCATTTGCAGTGATGTTACCAAGTTTGTGTGTGTGACTTGGGAGAGATGTCTGGCTTGCCGTGTTCTCCAGCTCCACATTATAAAGTTGCTTTACTCACATGTGGTGACTTGTCCCCCCCCCCTCCCCCACCTCCTTTTCCCAACACCCATACCCATTTCCTTGCATTTACTGGAACTGAACTTTAGAAGCCACTTGTCAGATCATTTTGATATTTTTGTCCAGTTCTTCCTTTAGCCTCTTTCTTTATCAAAAGCGGAAACAAATGGGCAGTTTCTTTCACCCTGATGCCCCTGGTACCTAGCAGTAAATAGATACCTGGGAGATAGACAGCTGGTAGGGGCTGCTTCCTTGGGGTGTGTAACAAAAAGGAGGCCTGGTCGAGGACCGGACCGCGGGGAAGCTAAGCCCAGAAATCATCTCAAGTTAACCATCTCAAGAAGATCCCAGATCAAATCGGTGGTGGGAGCGAGTGTTATCACATGTTGTTGTTGTTGTTATAGATTTAGCTACTCAGGATGACATGTCCATGTAGCACGGGCTATAGTGAGCCCGGAATGTTATCACAGCGCCGCCATCTAATCACACGTCTAAGTTAGTGAGGGTCACCCTTACTTGTGCTCGTATACCAGCTGGAGCAGCGCCTCTTACTCTCTACACTAGAATCCTAAACATGTATTTACCTGACTTTACCTCAGAGCAACCATCTCTAGCGGCCTCGACCGGGACAGGAAGCAGACGGCTTGTTAAAGGTCCCCCCCCCCCCCCCCGCATTAAATGAACAAAACCACAAGAGCCGTGTGGATTTCATTTGATGCATCACACTATTCTTGAGGTTATCTTGAGATGATTTCGGGGCTTTTAGTGTCCCCGCGGCCCGGTCCTCGACCAGGCCTCCACCCCCAGGAAGCAGCCCGTGACAGCTGACTAACACCCAGGTACCTATTTTACTGCTAGGTAACAGGGGCATTCAGGGTGAAAGAAACTTTGCCCATTTGTTTCTGCCTCGTGCGGGAATCGAACCCGCGCCACAGAATTACAAGTCCTGCGCGCTATCCACCAGGCTACGAGACCCCTTGTTGTGATTTGTGTGTCACCCTCATTGTTTCTTTAGATTTTTCCTGTCAAATTTTAAACTGAAGAATACTGTCTTGGCATTTGTAACTTGGAGTGATATGTGGTTCCCTTTGAGCGTAGGAGCATCTCCTGTCTTCTGTCCTACACTGTGGCTCGTTGGGCCTCTTGCTTTTGGTCCTTGTATGTGTTACATGTTAATTCACATATTTAACTAACTTTCATGCATATGTGTTCCTATAATCCCCAGTCACATTTGTTCTTTGAGTGCTCTTCTTCCCCCCCCCCCTAAGAGATGAGTTAAATAATGAACAATGGGTCGCTAGGGACAATAACCCCCAATAGTTCAATGAGTGGTCTTGTACAGACAAAGCTATGGATGGTGTTAGTGTCTCCCAGCTTGTCTAGCCTCAGTGCCGGTACTCTGCACGTATCCTCATGGCACTCATTCATGAGGTGCAGTAAATATCAAGAGAAAGACCCAAGTCATCTTCTCTTATTTGTAAGTTGAAAAATTAACTTTACAAAGTTCATTTTACAATTTATTATTGTTTTTACAAATTATTATTATTATGTCTTAACGCTCAGAGATGGGTATCACTGACCCTTGTCAACATTATCAAAGGCAGCGTTCGAATTGTTAAAAGTTGACTGATGAAGATTAAGCCACCCAAGAGGTGGCACGGGCATGAATAGCCCGTAAGTGGCGGCCCTTTTGAGCCATTACCAGTAACAATAGATGATACTAGAGATCTGTGGAGGTGCGACTGCACCCTGCGTGACGGGAGATATGTCTCCCGTGGTTAAAAGTTTGTGTGCTGCCGGATATATAGCCGAGGATGAGGTGAAACACCTCACCAAGTATCAAAATCTGGATTTAACTATATTTACAAATTCCATATGTTCTGTTTTGTAAAAGTCTCGCCACTATTGAATTTTCCCCACAATAACCCCTATATACTGGACCACCAGGGAGAGGACCCGTGGCCACCACCCGCAGTTAACAGCCAGTTGAACAAGCACAACAAGGCGAGTACACTACTTCTCTACCACCAGCAATTATACCAACACACACTGACATCAACACACACTGACATCAACACACACTGACATCAACACACACTGACATCAACACACACTGACGACAACACACACTGACGACAACACACACTGACGACAATGATCACAACCTACAAAATCCTCAGGGGAATCGACCGGGTAAACAAGGACGAACTTTTCAACACTGGTGGGACGCGAACAAGGGGACACAGGTGGAAGCTGAGTACCCAAATGAGCCACAGAGACGTTAGAAAGAACTTTTTCAGTGTCAGAGTAGTTAGCAAATGGAATGCATTAGGAAGTGATGTGGTGGAGGCTGACTCCATTCACAGTTTCAAATGTAGATATGATAGAGCCCAATAGGCTCAGGAATCTGTACACCAGTTGATTGACGGTTGAGAGGCGGGACCAAAGAGCCAGAGCTCAACCCCCGCAAGCACAATTAGGTGAGTACAATTAGGTGAGTACACTGACGACAACACACACTGACGACAACACACACTGACGACAACACACACTGACATCAACACACACTGACGACAACACACACTTACTGACATCAACACACACTGACGACAACACACACTGACATCAACACACACTGACGACAACACACACTTACTGACATCAACACACACTGACATCAACACACACTGACAACAACACACACTGACGACAACACACACTGACATCAACACACACTGACGACAACACACACTTACTGACATCAACACACACTGACAACAACACACACTGACGACAACACACACTTACTGACATCAACACACACTGACGACAACACACACTTACTGACATCAACACACACTGACGACAACACACACTGACGACAACACACACTTACTGACATCAACACACACTGACGACAACACACATGTAGATATGATAGAGCCCAGTAGGCTCAGGAATCTGTACACCAGTTGATTGACAGTTGAGAGGCGGGACCAAAGAGCCAAAGCTCAACCCCCGCAAGCACAAATAGGGGAGTACAAATAGGTGAGTAAAAACTGACAACAGTCTTCAAAATGCCTCTCAGAGGAAAGAATGAATGATCACTAATAGAGTGATGTTGTGTAGAATGGCTGGCTTTAATGGTAATGGCGGGTGACTCCAGCAGGGGGGGGGGTGGGTGGGTGGGTGGGTGGGTGTGTGTGTGTGTGTGTACTCACCTAATTGTGCTTGCGGGGGTTGAGCTCTGGCTCTTTGGTCCCGCCTCTCAACCGTCAATCAACTGGTGTACAGATTCCTGAGCCTATTGGGCTCTATCATATCTACATTTGAAACTGTGAATGGAGTCA